CTTTCCCTTTTCCTTCCTGTTCTCTCATGTGGGGTTTATTCATCCTTTAAAGCCCCTTGACATTCTCTGAACAAAGCCAAGGGAGGAGAAGGTTGTGAGAAGAGAAACCTACCTGGAGGTGACAGCCCTGACAGCGTGGTCCTGGGAAAATCTAACGGGCTGTGTCTCGGCTCCTCCTCCACAGCATGCCTGGGGATGGGATTATTCGGGCTCCTCCAACCTGGGAGAGCTGAAGCTCCTTCTGGAGGAGGCGGTCATGCTGCGACGCCTCAAATCTGACGTCCTTGCCCAGCTCCCAGCCAAACAGCGCAAGATGGTGGTGTTTGCCCCAGGTCAGATCAATGCCAAGGCCAGAACGTCCCTGGATGCCGCCGCCGAGGAAATGACCACCAAGGGCAAATCTGTGAGTGCGGGGCTGGAGACGGGGGGTTGGGAGTTGTGCTCACAGGTCTTTCTTCCCGGGACGGGCTCTGCGGACATTTCCCAGAGATCTCTGAACTTGCCTTTCCGTAACCTCTTCCCTCCTCCCTGGGCAAGGACGGTGAGCCCGTTTCATTTCTCAGCCTACTCAGTCTACTTCGAAAATCTCCTGTGAATTTGCAGTTTTATGCTTATGTAGATCACTGTTGTTCGATGATTCTAAACATAAACTGCAGGATGGTGATATATATTCTGAATAGCTCAAAGAAAGTTAGAATTTATCTTTAGTGTATTTTGAGAATTCCTCAGTCTAGGAACAGTTGTTAGAAATTAGTTTATGTGTATTTGGTAGATATGTTAACCTTTTAACTATCCCCTGTCATTTGCTTTAGTCAGAATAACAAATTGACAGTTATTTAATAAACTTGAGTTTTCAAACCTTCTTAACACTTTGCCTCCTTACTATAATCATTTATGGTTGGCAGTACGCTGGCAGGATCTCCTTTTTAATACAAGGAAACTGAGGCTCATAGAGACTGTGATTCCACCAAGGTCTCCTGGCTTCTCCATGGCAGAGCTGAGGCTGTATCTAAGCCTTTTACCCCTATATTTTAGGGCTCTTTCCACTATGGTATTTTTATTTTTTCGAAACACTTTCATTTCATATCTTTCATTAACATCTTACTATGCTAAGCACCATGTATAATTTACACCAGCTCCATGTCTGTCCTGTTGAGACAAAACCTTGCAACTTTTATTGCCAAGAAAGTAATAGTCATTGACATTTTTTTGGCATTATCATAAAGCATTATCTGGGCTTTATCTGATATTACCCTGTACAAAGAACCCTTAGATTTAGAGGAAATCTCAGCCTTCTGGAAGATTACAAAATAAATAAGAATGACAAGAGACAGAATGCTTGATATTTTTGCATGTTGTTTTACCTTGTGATGAGCCAGAGTAACTGGTAACTTTTAGAAACAGAGGGTAGAGTAGAGAATGCACGGGTCTGTTATCAAGTTGTGTTTGATTTATGCCATGTTTCATATAATAATCTGGATGGTCTGGAGGAAATGAGCAGGCAAAATCTCTTTGCTATGGAGTTTTCAAACAAAATTTGTGCAACATTTTTGTGGATATTCAGATCAACAGTTCTAAAATTGTATTTCAGTAGAACGATGAGTGGAACTAGGGCACTCCGTGGCTAAAAACAATCTTGATGGTCTTTTCTGATTTCTAAAGATAAAATTCAATGAATGGACAGTTTCTTCTCTGTTTTAAGTTTTTCTTATAACCTTAAACCTGGAATGTCTATTAACTTTTGCTCACTGGTGAACTCTACCAGATAAGAAAGCCAATGGGTAAATACAGCAAATATAATATTAATGGGAAAAATTCAGACATGCAATATTTTTAGATGCAAAGATCTGAATATTTATCAAATGCTATGTTTTAGTCCCTTGCATGTCGATGGAAGTAAGTCTATGGGTATTTCGTGGGATTCCCCAGAGAACACCCTTGCCCGTACCTGGTCTACCTCCTGAACCAGATTGAGAACAGTTACTGTAGACAACTGAAAAATCAATCAGTAGGCATTTGAATTGAGGACGAAAGTACCATTAACTGGCGTAGAGAGAACCATAAATGATGCAATGTGGCCAAAAAGAAAAAAATAGAAGGGAATTTCAAATTAGTGCAGCAAGATTTGAAAATATTTGGTAAACTTCTGCCAACTTGCATAGTTCCTCAAGTTAGGTGAGTGGCTCTTTCCAAAGATGGTTTCAGATGTAACTTGAGAGTTTGATTTTCTGAGTTTATGGGCAGTGATGTGAAATCAACTAGGCTGAGCCATGGAAATCAGGAATGTTGGGTGTTTTATAGCTTCTTGTAGCTATGCAAATCCCTTAAATTATTTGGGATATTTTGATATTTTCTTACCTAAAAAAGGAAGCCACAACCTGCCTCATGGGTTTGGTGCTGGAAAAATCCATAAGGAGAGAGCCAGCTGCTCAGAAAATAATCCCTCCTGTAGGGTGATTATCATCTCTGCTACTTCAGCATTCCAGAGTCTTAATGCTATTTTGCAGATTATGAAAATGAAGCTGAAATTGCAGCATAATTCTTCAGGAATCCAGCAGAGAAAGAGCCTAGAGCTCTTCTCAGTCTCAGGCTTGATACTCCTATCTGCTTCCATGGAGTCTTAGGAAAATTAAAAGTTTGTCCCTGAAAGAAAGAAATTGAGTTGGTATAGATTACCTTCAGCGTGATGCGAAGCCAGATACTATATAATCAGATTATCAGATTCTTTCTGATAATAAGATAATTCCTTGAAAATGTGGTTCTTCTTTGCATTCTTTAATGTAAACTCATTTTTACAATGGAAAATCCAAGTAGAAAACAAATTTATGAGCTTTGCAGTTTGGACCATCAGAACCTCTCTTATTCTAAAGCCACTGATTTGGTGCTTCTGTAAGCTGGAGATCCGACTGGGAGCATCACCCTAATTTAATTCAGGACGGGGAGCCATGCCAACTGGGAGTTGGACTAGATGGCCCTTGACACCCCTCCTAACCTTGACCAACTATGAAATCTTGAGCTAAAGAGTTAAAATGAGGAATCATAGTTTTTATGGTTTTTGTCGAATAAGGAAGCCTGTGAATCTATAGGAAGTCAGCCTCCCCCAGCCACCTACATTTTTATAGTTACTATTTAGGCCCAGTTTCCCTGCAATTTTGCACATTATGGTGGCTCCAGCAAAGCACCGGTGACCTGTCAAGAAGTGAGTTTTTCTTTGTTCCCCCACACCTTCCCTCTGGAAGAAGGCTTTTTTTTTTTTAAAGCTTTAAATCACAGAAGCCAAGGTAAAGCAACCAATTTATAAAATATAATGTACGACGGAGGCTTTTTCTCATTTTCAGTTGAAATAATAGGTATCTCTTCACAGGCTAAAAAAAGCCGTCTCTAATCATCTTTTGTCTAAAGCTATTTTTTGATCAGCAAGACCAGGAGCAGAAAAATAGAACAAGTTCATGCAGACTTCCTGGTGACAATATCAGTTCACCTTTCTGCCATTTGACAGTCCATTCAAATTTCCAACATAGAAAAATAAATTCGAAACCCCAGTGGGTCTAATTTAATAAAAGCCTAAGAGGCAGGAACAGAAAAAGTAGGTTATTTAAAATTTCCTGGTCTAAGGCTGGCAAAAAAAAGTCAGATTGTTAAAGGACTAGTATCTGTCCATCCAGTTTGGGGAAGTTTTTTTTTTAAAGATAAAACTATTGATTTCTCCCACATTAAATTTCAGTGGATGTCTATTGTATAAAATCTGAAAAATAAAGGGAAGTACTTAAGTAATATTTGTTAAACATTTTTATTACTACACTATAAAAAAGATTCACCCATTTTTTATCACATAATTTCAGCATTTATCGTTGGATGGTTTTTCTATAAAATGTATACATATTTTGCTTTAAACTATATTGCTTACGTATACACTTAATATAAGAATATATGTAACTTATGTATGTGATAAGCAATATATATATTTTAAAAACAGAACTGGGATCATATAAACATATGCTAACTGAGGAAGAAAACAGGTTACAAAACTGTATCGTGAATACTTTCCTTGTTGTTAAATGTTCTTTTAAAACATGATATTTAAAGTCCGCATAGTATTTTCTCACATGGCCATTCTTAGTTGGACATTTAAGTTAATTCAGCTGTTCACTGTTCTCAGTAATACTACACTGGGAAAGTTAGGCCCTCTAACCTAATGCAGTCCCTGGAAGGATATGCCAAAGGGACAGAGCCAGGTTCCTTATGATGACCTCACCCACAGTGCGTCTGCCTCAAGCAGACTGCACCCCAAGCATCCTGTCTACAATTTTACTCTGGTGTGTTACTCTTGTCAGGTCCATCCCTCCCACCCACACTCACTCACTCCACACTTGCCAGTTAGAGAGGGCAAGGAAGGGCAGAACAAACAGGAGGTGAAATGTGAAAGGCACTTTCAGAAACCTTGCCCCAAGATTTACCATACGTGAGAAAATGAACACCTTTATTGCACACGATTGGTGGGCTGGCTTTCTAGGCTGACATATTTGGGAATGACTTCTCAGTGTGTACCAAAGCCTTCAAAATATGCCGAACCCTCTGATCCAGCAACTTACACCTTAAAATTTGTTCTCATGATATCATCAGATGCACACAAATTCACATTCTGTGTGTCCAGAACCTTGTCAGAGTCTAAACTGGGCCTGTAGCTGAGAAGCAAGTTATGATACACTGCCATGGAGTTGCATCTTCAGCATGAATTCCCAGGAAGTTTAAGTTGATAAATTGGACTACTGCCACAAAATAGGAGGGACAGTAGCCTCCCTGCCACGATCTATGTAGAAGTGAAATGGATCCACTACCCTGTCAGTGTCCCTAGGAATTCCTATGGTTCCTAGGTACCTTTCTTCTGTCTCGTCAAGATCTGTAGGAAAGATGCTATTTAAAGCCAAGAGGCAGTCTGGCTGTGGCTACTTTCCTGAGCTATTAAGGACCCAGGAGTAAGGAGTTTAGGGCCATAGATGTGATCACTGCTGGCTCCCTTCTTTGTTCCACGAAGAAGCTATTGTGTCAGTAACTGGCCTCACAGGCCCAGGCACGAGAAGGTGGGGGCATCTGGAAACCCATGCTTGCCAGTGGTAGGAGATGGCTGCCCTACCCGTGATGACGATTACCTTTCATCTCTGGGAGCCTAGAGTGATAGCGAATGTTGTCTCATATTATGAAGCTATTTGAGCATCTCCTATGTTAGCATTCTTTATTAGGATTTATTTACGTGCAAACTATAGAGAAGACATGGTCTCTTGTCCTGGGTAGTCATTTACCTTATGTGGGAGACAGACCAAAAATCTGTGAGTCATGATTTTGAGATGATAAACTATTTGTGATCAGTAGGAATTGATTTAGCAAGTCTTGGATAGAAGTGAGTTTAGGCAGTCGGGTATGGACACAAGTTGGCAGAAGAAAAGGGGAGGCAAAAACCACAGTGGGCCAGAATCACGTTTAAGTTGTTCTTAGGCTGTATGTAGTACACACAGGTGCTTAGCAAGGCCGCATTTCAGCTGATCACATGAGCTTGGTGTACATGGTAAAGCTCTACCTGAAATGCCTTTCCAAAGAGCTTTCATGTTCCTTGCCTCATCGGATTCTCACAATAGTTCTCGGTGAGTGACAGAGTAGCTGTTATGCCATGACCATGTCTCCAGTGACAGAACCAGAGTTCAGGCAGTTCCTGTGACTTGTCTAAAGCGAGCGGATAAGTCAGGGTTTCCTGTCTCTGGTGACTGGTGTTAGTATTTGTAAAGCTCATAGTGGTGATAATTATGTCAGTTTAGCTCAGAGTTCTCAGAGTGGGAGACTTTAAACCTTCGACTTCTCTTTCCACAGAAAGGACAGCAGAGAGAAGCCCTCATTCTCTTCTTCAACAGAACAGCCGAAGCTAAAATCCCATCTATCATGTAAGTAGTCACCAAGTGTCAACTTGTCTCTTTCTCTCTCTCATCTTTAAAAAGAAACACCTATTATTTTAGTCTGCCAGAATAATTTTACTGCTCTGTAAGAAATGCTCAGAGATTCCAGTTACCGCTGCCTTGAATATAAAGTGTAGGGCAATACAGCCTCATCTCCCACGAGGCGCGTGGAGGCTCATCCCTGGAGTGCTGCCAGGAGTTGCTGGGAATGAATCCCCGCGAGGTCCTGTCTTGACCCAGGTGAGCTGAGCCACTGCCGTTTGCGAGGAGGGTGGGGAGACCCCGACACTAACGGGCATTTTCCTCTTCCAGGGAGAACTGTGCTCACTTGCCTAAAGGAAAAAATTAGGGCTTTCATGAAAGACCAAGCAGCCGCCTTAGGTGATCCCCTGGCCTTCTCCAAAGGCATGAAGTTTCAGCCATTATTGACCTACATAAAAAGGAGCATTTTAAAGTTTGTTCAAAAGATATGGGCGAGTGGCTGTTGTCACACTTATTCTCCTTCCGCCTAAAAACCAAAGTTGAGGTCATTTCTTTTTTTTTTTTCAGTTCTATTCTTAAAATTATTCACTGACTTGGAAAAAAATCTCAGTTGTCTACCTTTCTTAAAGAAAGAAAAACCCACTCATGTTCAAATGTCACCGTGATAGAAACTTGACACAATTCTAATGACGTACAGTTTGCCTGATTTTTTTATTGTTTAACATTCATGTGAGACTCGCAAGATAATGGTCCAAGTGGTGAAATTACGATGAGAATGAATTTGGCGAGGGTTGAACCGTGCCACATTGGCTGTGGGGACAGAGATTTGCAGATACATTGAAACACACAGCTTACCCCACCCTCCCACTGAGCCTCCAGACCTCTCAGCCTTACCACTTTTCCACTCTGACCCGTTAAATGTGGTAGGAGAGTGAGTTTGCTGCGTTATTCATGTCTAAGATTCTCCACAAAGGCTGCTGAATGCTGGCCAGCTCTCCTTCACCCTCCGGGAACTGCCCTTTTCATTTATGATACTGATAGGAGACGTGTGAACTCCAGATGTGGTTTTTATGGCCTGGAAACTTCTCTATCAGAAACAAATCTGAATTGCCCCCACCGATCCATTTCTCATGTGCTGCCAAGTGACAGATGGCAAGGGTGCTGGTCTCCTCCTCCCTCGCTCTCTCAGCTTGTGACCTACAAAATTCAGGGTTTGTTGAGGGTTGGATTCAGAACCAACATCTTCCCTTAGAAATTGTAAATGTAATCATTTTTCCGTCTCATAAATAAGCTTGGTAATACTTTGTCTTAGTCTGTTCGAGCTGCCATAACAAAAATACCATAGACCGATAGACTGAGTGGCTTACACAACAGACGTTTATTTCTCACAGCTCTAGAGGCTGGGATGTCCAAGGTCAAGGTGCCAGCAGATTCAGAGTCTGGTGAGGGTTCTCTTCCTGGCTTGCAGGCAGCCTTCTTCTCACTGTGTCCTCACATGGTGGAAGGGACAGGATGCCTCTGGGGTCTCTCTAATAAGAGCCCCGACTCCATCACTTCTCATAAGCCCTACCTTTCGATACCATCACGTTTATGAATACTGGGAAGTAACATAAACATTCAGTCTATAACATACCTTATACATACTTTTTCAAAATTCTGTTATAAATTATATAGTGCTTTATTATTTCCAACCATTTTGACATTTGTTTAACTCATTTTACATTTATAGCCTCTTCATGAAATCAGTAGAATAAGTCACATTGGCCCCATTTTTTTTAAATGCAGAAACTGAGTAAATCTCAGATGTCCTCGGGCAGAGTAAATGCTCCTTGTGTCCAAGGAAGCTAGCTCACCTTCCCACTGCCCTGAAGGAGCAGTGACCTGCGCTGGGGTTGTGGGCACTAGTCCAGGGGAAGCCAAATGGGTATGCTGACTGGGTGACTCTTCCTTCCTACAGTTCCCAAGGGTAGCTGCTGTCCTTTAAGGCCACTGCTAAAGATAAGGGGCAGAAAGTTAAGAAAAAACACAGTAGATAGAGGAGAGAAGTAAATTAAAGGGAGAATAAATAAGGTCCTTCACCCCATATTCCTTTGCCTCAGGAAAGAATGCACTTACTACTCATGTAACTGTTGGCAGTCAGATGTGGGTGGGAGCTGGAGAGCCTGCCCTGACCATCTCTTCAGTATTATTACTTAGGTTTCAATATTATACTTCCAGAAATTTGATTATGTCAAGAATCCTTTAATCCTCTGCCTAGGTATTTTCAGATCTACAGACACTTCAATTTATATTGAAAACACATTATAAAGATAATAGCAGCCAAAGTGTGAACTGTTAATTATCTTCTGTGATCCCAAGTAATAATGTTTCGGTAACATATCAGAGACACAGAAAACATAAGGATACTTCAATTTATTTGTGTATGGAAGATGACTTAAAAGCGTGGCAGAACTTTCTGCACATAGCAAAAGATGGCTTACTTCCCCAAAGCTCTCAATTTTGCTGCTTCTATTCAAGTGGCCTGGCGTGAGGGAAGGGGGAGGAGATCAGCTCTCAGAGAAGGGAGCAAATGGGCTGGGGAGGGCAGGCACCCCGAAGATGTCTGCTACAGATGCAGTCACTTTTCAGGAATTAACCTCAACCGGATGAGTGTATGTTTAATTTATCGTGTCGTCATTGTCACATGCAGTGAATATATCCTGGACCTGCTGGAAAGTGGAAGAGAGAAGTTTCTGGTGTTTGCACACCATAAGGTGGTTCTAGATGCAATTACTAAAGTGCTTGAGAAAAAGGTAAGCTCCCTTTGAAGTTTCACCTGGATGCTTTTAATTGTTTGTGTGTCAGCTGCTAAGTTGTTCTGAGCAGGCCGAGGTCAAAGTAGTGAGATGATGGTTTCCAGAAACATTGCTAAAGACTTTCTGAAGAACGCTTCTTACTTGTAAAGCCACACTGAGATCTGAGCATTTCCCCAGCAGTGCCCTTTAACTTCCTCCGTGCTCGGTACACGTGGCCCAGGAATCTTGCTTTGGGAACCTCTCTCAATGGGTCTTCCATGCTCCTGTGTAGATAATTAGAAAATTAGCAAGAGAAGAGGTAGCAGAAATTGTTCTCCTGTGCGGAGACAAGTATTTATATGAATAGCCCGTTCACTTTCCTCCTTTTGTTCCCCTGATTAATGTCCAAGTGGCTTATTAATTGTACCTGGCCATGCCCAAACTTCAGTACAGTTACATGGTCCTCATTAAATTGAGTGAAAAATATCTACAAGGATTTCCTAGAATGTTCATTAAACTAAACACACCATATTTTCACCCCGTTTCATTTTTGGTTAAATTTAGGACCATGCATTACCTTTTGTTGTCCTTCATGCTTTACATTTATGTCATATTTCAATTATACAGAAGAGTACAGAAAAAAGAAAACCATCCACGTGTCCCCCATCCAGATTCAATAAGTGGGAAGTGTTGCAGTATTTATTTCAGTTTATTTTTTAAGTGATAAAATATGTGGGCCCTCCCTTAGTACTCCTTTAATAAATCCCCCTTCTTCCTCCCCAGATATAACCACTATACTGAAACCTTTCCCTCCACATCGTCATACTTTAAAAGTATGTATCCTTAAACAGTAGAGGTCTCCTTTCGTATACTTTTTAATTTACCTAAATGTAATTCACTTTTGCAGCGTTACCAGTTTACTTCATCCACTGTAACTGCTAAGTAGAATCTCCTTGGAGGACTGTGCCACAGTTTATCCATTCCCCTACTGATGAGTGTTGAATTTATTTGCAGTTTTTGCTATTATGTGCATAGTTTTGTATATGTACATACATAGGTGTGCCGTGTGTGTGTGTGCATGCACACACACGCACGCACACTTGGGCATGGCCAGGCAGGATCTTGCATGATCACTGGATAGACTCATCTTCAACTCTACTAGGTATTCTCAAATTGCTCTCCAAGGTAGTTATTCAAGTTTATAATCCCACCAGCAACA